TTATTTTTTTTTCAATCATCTTACAATTAATGCTAAATGAAATATACATACGTAATTGAAAAAATTTTAATACACACGTTATTTCAGAATTTAGATATAATACGTCTAATAAAAATTGATGATACGAATACCTAGCTCCAATTGTCTATTTCGGCGTTTTCGTAATATCACATATATGGTTATTGCTGTTAGAAGTAATATTCCACCTATAATTCCAGTTATTAGTTTAATCATTTCTCCTTGATTCTTATATTGACTTGCATTGCTCAATGCGAGGCATTCTAATATAAAGAAATGATAAAGAAATTCTTATTAGTTTATTGCGGAATAACATATCGAAAAAAAATTAAAGATTTAAAAGTTTAATACAACATCAGAAAATAATATATATTCTAATTATCAAATACTTCGTGTAGAATATTTTAGAACTACTGTGCTTTACATAAATTTATTGAAAAATTAAAATAGTCTTAAAAAAAAATTTTGATATTATGTAGAAGAATATTAACTATATTGCGAGTACAAATCTATCTCCAAGGAAACACAAAGAATTCTAAATATAAAATTATTAGCGTTTTAACAAATTTGATCATCAAAATATGTCTTAAACTTTTTGACTTTTTATAATTGATTAATTAAATTGACAAAAAATAATTCTTTTCCCTCATTATTATTAGTATAAGAAGCTTATATATTAAGATTTTATAAATATTTTTCATATTAAGAGTTATCGACATTTGATTCCATTAAATATTAAATATTAAAATGTAATAAATTTGCTACAATTTTAAATATAATATATTAATTCCCTTTAAAGTGAATCTATTTATAACAAACCTTCATTCATTAAGCAACCAATTTCCGCCTCATCCTCTGTTTCATTGTCAAATATCTTAAAACACAAAGTTTCATTGTTTACTTTACCAATGCACTCGGAACAAGCTGGGTTATTTTTAAATATATGCTCAATCGTAGCATTTTTTTCTTTTATAATTCTCAATCTGTAAAAAATGAATGATTAATAACAGATAATTCGCAAGTGACTTTTTTTTATTTCAGATATTAGGTGTACAACTTTGCTTCCGCCGTTTTTTTTCCGAAATTCGAGGCTTTATTGTAAAAAACTGGTTATACATTTATGATTCAAAGTATTGTCCATCGCTGGCCACTACTTTCTCCCATCTTTCGGGTAGCGTATGAATCCCGCGTCGAAAAAACTGGTCATCTTTTGAGGCTATCCACGAATCGATCCAATTTTTTACTTCTTCATAAGACCGGAAGTGCTGGTCAGCCAGGCCGTGTGCCATTGATCGAAACAAGTGATAGTCAGAGGGAGCAACGTCTGGAGAATACGGCGGGTGGGATAGGACTTCCCATTTCAACGTTTCCAAGTATGTCTTGACCACTTTCGCAACATGGGGTCGAGCATTGTCATGTTGCAAAATCACTTTATCGTGTCTCTCGTTGTATTG